AAAAATTTGAGTGAGTTCCGGAAATCAGGTAAACTACCCTGGATCCACCCCTGTCTGGGTTGAAAACACTTTCGTGCAATGTTAGAATTACGTCAATTAGAGTGTGGCTATTCGCCGTAACTCTAGTTGGCGTACTAACAAGCCTTTTAGATTGTATATTGTAAACGTATTATAGGTTTAGCAGATGTCTCCCCAACTTTGCCGTTCCTTTTCGGGTTCCAAAATGTTACCATTCACGTCTCTAATTAGAGTGTAATTGTCCGAAAGCCTGCTGATCAATTCAATTGGTCGTTCCCGTTCGGATGACCAGATTTCTTTGGCCATTTTGAACGGTCTGTAAGGACGAATCCAAAGTAGATGTCTATGAATCCTTTTGAATTCTGACCTCAGTGTTTATTTATTCTAAACCAACGAACTGTTGTGGCATTTTTAATTATAACGCGCTGTGTTTAAAGGTCGCACCCTGCATATATTATGAGGCCACCTTTGTAATTTGTTCTATCTTGTCGATTTGGCTTGGATCCTTTAGCATAGAACTGGCTTTCTGGATAGCTGTCATCGATTTTGGAGTCCGAGAGAACTAGAATATCTGACAAATTGTTTATCAGCATGTTCTTAACCTCGAAGAGCTTGATTCCGCCGACGCTGTTTGTTTTCTTGTGGTAGGAAGAAGCGAAATAAACTAGCTCGAAAGTGCTTTCTAGGAAAAGAAACCATCTCAAAAACTTCGCTCATCGTAATTGGTCTTATTTCACGCGTCTCCAAATCGGTTTTTTTTTTTTACCCTTTTTCTTCTTTTCTAAGCAAGGTAATCATTCTTGAAGTTCTTTTCATTGGAAAGATCCCCAATCATTACAACAACGTGAAAAGCTTAATAATTGACTATTTCCGAAGTTCTACACTGAATCAATTTCCCTCTCTAATATTAAATTAAATAATTCTGGATAGTCAAACTTGATTGCGAGTACTTCAAAACAAACGACATGTTGTTTATCGTAGATGAGATCGTCTGTCGAAAGGTTGTTCCAACTCAAGCCACAGCCACAGCCACAGAAAAACCCACTAATAATTCATTGCCAAAGGTTTTCGTTTATCTCATTCAAACAGAAAAATGCCTTCCTTCAAACTTTGCCTCTCCTTCCGAGATCGGCGACCCCGTGACGTGTAAATGTGATGTCATGGTGCTAAGCTATCGTACCAAATGTCAAGGGCAAAAGCCGCCTCACATCACTTATTTGTTCTATCCCAATACTGGATGGGGAACAGGACGAAATGTGCTGTATTTTGCTGCAATTACGACATCCTCAAAATACCATTATTACATTTTTATGGATGATGATGTGGTACTACATTTCAATTCATTTGCTTCGCCACAAATGAAGAGGCTTCCGCCGTTTAGAGTCTTCGAACATTGGCTCCTAGATTACGAGCCTGTAGTTGGAGTTGTGGATTACAAATTGCATCATGGGGCCATCTGGACCAATAACTTACGAAAGAAAATATGTAACAAGACGGACAGTCCCCTTGTGATACCAACAGTATGGTATGATGCCCTTTTCAATGCATTTCATTACAAATCTATCGAGCATCTCTTCCCTTACCGTACGCAATATCAAAACATAAGCTGGTGGTCATCGCAAAGGTACATGTTTTCTGCTGTGGAACTGATATTTCGAGGCCAGGCATTGATGTTTGTGCCTGTTACTACGGGAAATCCAAAACATCGCCCATACCCAAGGTCTCTAAAGGACGCAAACTGGAGAGATTACATCGATACGATTCGAAAGGAAGCTCCTTTAATTTACAGAAATCGAACTTTATTCGAAGAATTTAGGCAGAATCTTGCAGGTTACGTTATCAACACGAAAACATATTGCATGAATGTAACACGGCATCAACAGATTAAACCATACGCTCATTTTGATTTTAAGACAGAGATGTAGTTGTTGAGGTTAGTGAAGAGGTAAACTATAGTTCCCTATTCTTTCTTATTCTGGGCTCAATCAGTGGATAAAATGCTAAACCCATTCAATTATAAGCCCCTTTGTTTGTTTATAAACTTGTTGAACTGTAACAAAGTTTCAACAAAGTGATGTTCGCGAGGAGAATTAGGACTGAACCGCTAACACATTGGAATCAAACCATTTTTCACTTGGTCGGTTGCATTCAGTTTATTTACTGAGGAAGTATTTCCTGAGCCATATTTTATTCATTATATCTGTGTGTTAGTACTTTCCCTATGTCTGGGGAGTGTAACGGGCCTTCTTATTATTATTATTATTATTATTATTATATTACTGTTCAGACCTCTAAATAAAAATTTTTATCCTAGCCGAAATCACTGCTCTCTGTTTGAATCCAGAGATTTAGTAACCTCGCTTTCTCGATCCGTATTTTCATAAGTTAGAGAACCTCGTTGAGGGCCATCAGAAAGGGAAAGACTCGGGCCTTAACGAACAGAAGTGGAGGTCAGTAAGAGGTCTATTTCTTCATCAATAAAAAGTGTGCATTAAATTATCGTAACCAACTGCGTTTTGAGATGTCAAAGGGTGAACAAACTTTTCGGGGATTAGACTTTGAACGGTGCCATTGTAAAAACATCGATCGTAGTAACCTGGCCTTAAATTCAATTCATAATCATTATGCAAGCTTCAAAAAGGCTGCTGCTTTGTTCCTCCACAAAAAAAAAAAAAACAAAAAAATTGCGTTGAGAATGTCTTTTTGAATGAGAAAACAGCAAAGAGACTTTTCATAAATCACGATTAAGCAGCCAGGCTGTCATGCATGATTCGATATGGTTTCGGTCGTTGTCCATTTTTAGTACATATGACAATAAATACCGAAAGTTAGTTTGTCTTAGGAGTGAGGGGGGGACTTTATTATTTTCTGGTGAAAGCGGGAGTTAAATTACTGCCAGTGTGACGTCACTAGCAACAAAACAAGCAAGAAAGACTCTTGAGTGTTAAGCTTGCTGCCTTGTGTTTTGAACTTGTGATCACCGAAAACTCTCTGTAGTTTTTTTCTTCGTGGACTTTGTTAAGATATTCTGTTATAGCGCTGGTATATTACTATGCAATATCATATTTCTTATTAGTCTAAATGATTTCGTAATTATTAGGCAACGGGCTGGGATGTATTTTTAAAAGGTTTCTCCCCATGTATCTGTCTTTATTCATGATAAAGTTCGAATATACATAACACACATGTCATTGGTTGAAAGAGCGTGCTCTATCAAAGTACAAAGCATAGAACTGAGCTAAAGCTGTCACGCCATCCTCCAAATGGTAATATGTCTGACCTTTTTCAGGACTTCTTTCAAGCTTTTCGTTAATTGAAAGTGAAATTTCGTAACAAGCGAGAAGGCAAGTAGCAACAGAAAAAATAAACAAATGTTTATAAACATGTCAAGCGCCGTAATTTACCTTATTATAACATAAGCAGAGACGAAAATTCCTTAAAGAGAAAACTAAAGGACAGTCCGATTTAGAAGGTTTTCACGCTCGGTCAGATAGCAAGCTTAGGTACGATAATAAAAATCAAACACAGCTAAATTCTCGCATAGTACATACAGTTTCGTATTCGAAAACAAAACAGAACAAAACAGCAATGATGAAAAATATAGCTAAACTGGCATAGCTGTTAAAATTCATTTTTATCATGACGGTGTCAGAGCGACTGCGATCATACTGAGGTCCATTGTGGCTAGCTCATCATTTCAATCTTCGGTCATCGCAGTCAAGAAAGCCTCAGAAATTACACCGGCCGCCCTTCGAGTGAACGACTAAGAGCTTACACTGATATCCTTTCTGATGCGTTGTGTGGAAGGCCACCTTAGTCACGGCAGGTAAGTTTTACGGCGCTGTCATCTCAAGTAATCTTTATTTTCTTGTGAATTCGGCTGTCGCTCATTCATAAAACACACGCCTTGAGCAGTTTGTTTTCCAACTGTCATAAAAAACTTGCGTGTTTTTATGAGCCACAATTTTGCTGGATTTTATTGAACATTTCAATTTCAGATTCTGTTTTAGAGACTAAAGAACTTCAGGCAAACCTGTTAAATTCCACCAGATTGTGAACTTTGATGGTTTGTGAACTTTAATGGTTCGACATTTTTGACAGTTTTAGATTTAGTCTTCTTCAACCAATCAGATTATTTGAACCATTCTCACAAGGATTCTGATGGCTTAATGTGGCGTTCGCTTTGAAAGTAAATTTTGTTTCGAAAAGTGAAAGTAATGCATGGGTAATTTAACGGATTCTTTATTATAAAACAAACAGAAAAGCCTTGACTGTGCTCTGGTTAGTTTTGAAGCACTAAGAAAGCGGTTAGAGTACTCAAAAAGTGGGGAGAAACACTACGTCTTCCTACGCTTTTTTCGTGCTCTGGCCGCTTCCTGAGTGCTTTACAACAAAACAGAGCACAGTCAAGGGTTATCTATTTATTAATAACCATTTTTTCGATGACCGCCATATCTGTTCATATTGTAATATGAGACCTTTCTTTCGCTTTCTTAAGCTTGTAAAATCTTCCAA